CACAGTTAACATGAGAAAATTTGCGCATCTTCTACGAACCTACCACCTCTGAACTGCAAAGCAAACTACCAATACTAATCCATCGTACAACTGCCATTCTACATTGGTAGAAAGGCTTCGCATTGAGCTTCACCCGATGAGTCAGGTGATTGACTCTTCCTGTCCCCCCTGCCGAGGAGAACACTGCGGACTTAAAAAAATCAATATAGTCAAGAAAGCGTCGCTTAACGGCTCAGTAGTCAAACATGTTCTCGTAGGATGAGTCGAACGCTGAAAATCGAGTTACCTGTCGAATTAAGTGCACGGACGACCGTAGTTTACGCATGGTTTACGCAGTGAACATACTTTTACAGAATGGAAACTGAACCGGGTGAAAAAACGAAACTTCTGTCGTTTTTGCACTCGACGACATCGAAAGCGATCGCTTCAGTCAGCCGTCGTCCTGTTAGCTGGTTGCCACCGGTGCGCATCAAACCGGAACACGACTCGTTAGGGGCACTTTTGTGCACCACACCTCTAATGCGGTCGGACTGCCGCGCTGCTCGTCGCCTACCAATAAAAAAACACCAGTCATCGTACTGACGGATGGGGGTCAAGGCGTGATCAGTGAATCGGCGAAAGTGACAGACCAAAGTCCGATCCACGACGCGCGACCATCGGCGTCAAGGCGACGATGGGTCGGATGCGGCGCGAATGGTGGCGGCCGCACAAACGCAACTCGTCATGCACGCCATGATACAGTGAACTGAACTCGCTTGCACTTGACTTAACGTTACCAACCGCTAACTCGCTACAGATCGTTCAGTTACGGCAATAACCGCGGAGGTTATGCCTTGTGCTAATTATCATGCTGGACAGTCAGTTGTCAGATGGGTCATCCTGAAAAAAAACAAAGGTTTCCTTTTGCCTAGAATTCCCCTGAGCAAAGCATATGTCTGACATTGCTTCTGTGCAAGCAATGCACAAGCAGAGAGCAAATCGCTAACTTGCGAACGATACGTGTGACATGGTGTTTTACTGTGATCATACCAGAATGGGCAAAAGGCACGGTCATGCTATCTGATGCATGATATGGCGACAATATGGACAATCGCATCGTCCATTCCGGTATAACCACACCACAACACCATGTTGTTATTGTTGTTCGCAAATCGACGACATGCTACAGTTTCACAGCTAATTGCACTGAAGCAAACGGGGTGAGTTATTTACTTAAAGTAATTACCAGTCAGCGTTAATTGGCAGTTTTTCCACCAGTCTAGAGGTTTGCCACTATCTGATTTCCGATCGTTTCATTCTCAAGATGGAAACTTCACGCCTAAATCTTCACGGAACCATCGCCATAGCACACGATTTGTAACCTAGGTATTTGTTAATTTCCGTTGTAATCGAAGCATCGTGCCTCTAAGCTGTTCTGTCGTAAAAGCATCAGAACGTCTGCAAGCCCGGGTTCCCACTGCCTCATGAGTCAACCGTTTCGAAGTTCGTACGATTTAGGGCTATCGTAGCTTCTAGAAAGTACATATCCTGTTCTGTCTTGTCTGCCATGATACGCTAGACACCATTAAGCGCCAGGAAACCCAGAAAAACTTCGGTTGTCAAAAATCTCTGTGAAGCGGCCATCAAGTCATGAGAGCACAGCCATGAAAAGCAAGCATACAATGCAGGCTTTCAACATCATCACTGGACAGCGATGATTGTATGCAGTATCTCAACTAACAGCCATGAATTTAAAAAAAATCGAAACTTCAGCAGCATAATCAACGACCTAGGCTTTAAACCATCCGCCCAAATTGTTCTCGAACTTAAAGTCGTTCATTTCTGAACGGCCATGGCTTACGAACCGGCGCTTACGCTCATTCATGCAGCACAGCCATTGTCAGGTTACCATTCTCATGACTACGAAATAAGCAGCTGTTCTTTCAAGCAAGGTTTGAAGGTACAATGTCGACCAGGAATAGCCGTTCAGTGCTAAGCGAACAATGATCATTCAATGCGTTGACTCATCATCGCCTTCGCAGACAGCTCACGAGTGGCTGCACCTGAAAGAACAGCTTTCTTAGGGCAGATTAAAGTCGAGCAAACCCAAGCTTCAGTGGTGGGAACGCCGGCCAAAAGAAATAATCAAGAATCTTTAGCGAGAACATTTTTTACAAAAAAGCAACGATTTATGCACTGCGTAGAGAACTGTCAGTTTAGCTGTAGCTGGACGGACACAACCTGAAAGAGGCAATTTCGTTCTGTGGCTAGTGATAACGCAAGATGTAACAACCCACTGTCTAGATGTTAAAGTTGCTCAATTTCGTTAGTGACGATCACGTATTGCAAGAGTTTGACAGTGACTTCCGTGTGACTGAGGTTGCTTATTTGATAGAGTCATTTTAGACAGGTTCCGGGTTCGATCCTGTCCGGTCACGCCTTTTTTCCTTCAGAGATCGATAAATGAGTACCACTCTGCGGGAAGGAAACATAAGAGTACACATCATGTTGATCATGTGGCAGCTATCGACTCTTTCCTTAAAATAAAGCACTCCTGGCTGGTGACAAGCAAATGGTGATCAGCGCCCCACTATTACCTTCATGAAAAGTAGGGCGCCAGAAATTACCCTATCATGAAAGTGCAAAGAAGACCGACATTTCTGCGAGTGCAAACTTTCATTTCCTTCTTTTCAATTCAGCAAACAGCTTGAACGGTATGTGCCCGAGAGATGGGTTGCGTCATGTCGCATCAGATCCGATCTTGGTCCAAATTACAGTAGGATGAAGCAGTCATCCTTCGACGACGCTTAAACTTGAGACGCAAGCGTTTATCGAGTAATCGGTTAATTTTGCGGAATCCGAGTAATCTTTTTCTTTCAGCCCGGTTCTTGACATTTTCATGATCAGCCAAGCGCTACCTGCACCTCTTCAAGTGCAAAGCACTGGTCTTAAATGAGGACAATTGACTGGAGGTATTAATTAAGGTACAGGAGGTGTCGATTTATTATGCGTCGACTCGACCGACTTGTCAGCCGTTTGTTATCTATACTGAACCTGATCGAAGGCCATCGGCTACTTTCGCTACTTTCAAGTCGAACAAATGACTAGCAACGAACGCGCGACGAACGTTTTATGATCAGCGCGAAAGAAGCTTTGGAGGTTTGTTTTTATGGAGCTCTTTCGTCGATCCATTTATAGGCTGATACTACCTCTTGTCGAGCAACAACAGAACGAATGCATTTCGCGGAATGCTGCATTTAGTAAAACATGACCAAGATGACAATATATGCTCCGAGCCACTCTCACATGCCTCAGTTTTAACGAACTTTTAGCACCTGAAAAACAACGCAATCAGTAGACTGGCTGTACCATGGGATATGTATATAATATACGATAATATATATAATTATGCTGAAGTTGTCCCCAACCGGACAATATTTTGCAAGAACATATATATTATGATTGTAAACAAACTTCAGGAAAGGTCAATCTTGGTGCATTAGTCCCTCGTTTCGATGACGGGCTTTACTAGAACCGAATTCATGGGATGTAGTTTATACGGCTTATTTTGAAGTGTAGTACATCGGGAATACTGAATAAATAATGAACATGGTTAGGTGTTAGTACTCTAACCATGCGGTAGCGGTGACAAAGTTGAGTTAAACGTGAATGACTCTTACCGTTTATTCATTTCGTTCCGCTATTATAGCTTCCTTTTATTCTAATTTCATTTTTCAAATAGTCTTACTGGATAACATATTCTTTACGATATTGTGTTCTGCCACTGTCATATTCTTTTTTATGCAAGCCCGATGTTACCACATCCTGCATTTGAGATTCTCTTATGTAGATGTCATCACACGCAAAACTGAGTCGATACATTACCCCGAGGGTATTCTGTTGTGCTGAGATCCCTGTCTCATACCAAAAACATCCTAGTTAACGCGGGTAATGGTATATTGTCATAATGCCGCATTTCTTCCTGAATCTTTGTTCCCTTCACTTATATTCCCTTGGTAGGGGCATTAGAGGGCGCCTACCAAATTGTCAAAGGTGCAAACAGTTTGGTTAGAGCCAATCCCATTACGCTGCCGGTCTGTCATTTGGCATACTCGAGAATCAAAAATTTTGGGTTTCTGATTTCCTTTAATCAATTACCAAGTTGTTATTCTACTCTCGTAATGCAACGGAGTACGAGCATACCTACACATTTCTTAGTTTGACAAGTTCAGCTCTCAAAAATACCGGCGTTTGGGAGTTAGAGGTCATGTATGTTCCAGCATTATGTAGTTCTCATTTTCTTTCTTACGGTATCTCTGTCCTTATCCAAAAAGACGCTCAAAAGCGTGTCTTCAGTTTTCTCAAACTTCATACGTGAACCAGATCTTGAATGCTTTTCCAGGAATAGTTAAACCATTGTGAAAAACGGTAACATTTTTGCACGTAACCGCTAGCATTTAACGCTGTTTACAAACCTTTCAATTAGAAGTTAGACTGTACCAGAAGGAATAAATAGGACAGAATTTTTTTCAGAATTGTGAAAACAACTGATGTAACTCCCGCCGTAGCATGAAGCTCAGCTTGCTATTTTATGTACGCCTAAGAAGATGTCTTAAGAGTGCCATACTGTCCATTTATGTATCGTGAGGCGATCAAAAATGGATAAACCTGAGGCAAAAATGAATTGTTCAATACTGTATTCTACATTATGCACTTCAGAAGTAATCTAAAGATACTCAGTTGTGGTTGCATAGAAAGGTTAATCATTAATTATCGTCGTCCTCGTTGTGACTCTAATGGAAGTTGGTGGTAATTTAGTCCAAGTCCTGTCTCCTACAATGTTTATTTTGTTGCCTCAATTCATGTAGCCCGTTTTCTACTGATAGTGAATTAAATACAAAATATTCACCAATTATGCAACTTCACCAGATTTTCCCGGCGTATGCGCCGCCTATCCTCAGATTCTGGTTACTTAGGGGACTGTTTAAGAAGGCTACGACTACACCGAATTTGAGGAATGCAGTTAAATAATACGGCATCACTAAATTGGGCCTAAAAAGGGTGAAATGGAACAGTGACTAAAATACCATAATGCATGTACATACATAAATGTAGATAACAAAATAATTTGCGCTAACTTAAAAATGTGTCTAACTTTATTAACAATGCATAACCACTACAAAACTGATTTTAAGCCATAGTAGTAAAAAGATAACGGGAGTGTGAGCATGTCGATAACAGCAGAGCCTGAATATCGTTTTGATAAACACTTGATGATACATGATACACTATTTGTCTACGCTGAAAAAATGTAACAAATTTTAAAAGAAAAACAAACCGATATAAAGCCAATAAAGTACATCTTAAAAAATTAACGAGGTTTACAACAGAACTTGGTGAATCTGTTCATGACACATCGAACCCAAGCCAATCTCACTTCAAATTCGCCACCTTCTTCTTTCAACAATCCACGACGGTGGGTCGACAGCAATTTCCTTACGACGAAAGCCACAATGCTGGGTGTTATCTGGATACCGTCTTCCTTGATCTTCAACAGCGTTACCATCAGCTTGTAATCAATTTCATCGCCAAGCAACTTTGGCCGGCCGCGCGCAGGTCGTCTGCAACAGAAAATTATAACTAAAACTTAGTTAATACGCAAAGCACCGTCTCACCGTTTTTTGAACACGATTGGATTTATTTGCGGTTTTATATCTATTTTCAGTTTCGTGTCCTCGTCACTCACATGCTCCTCCGTCTTCACAATCGAACTCTGATCAAAGTCTATTACTGATGTAACGTAACCGGTCAGCTTTCTTTCTAGTTCGTCATCTGAAACATAACATGCAGCTGACAGCCTGGACGTACTGACCTAAGAAATGCAATGAACTTCAATATTATGTCACATTTTCGACGAAAATTGTTCCCCGCTGAAAATAAAACACAACTCAAAATAACATAAAACAAAACATAACTCAACAGTCACTCCGTAAAAAGGACCTCACACATCCAAGATACTGGAAAGAGGCATATTGTTACAAGTCATCATCTTCCACGGAAATAAAATTGCCTCTGCCATTCGCAACTGTCGTTTTAGCCCCTTCAATGTTGGATGGAGAGCTTTAGCTTCAGATGCATACCGACATTAGAAGCTACAACTCCGTCAGAAATGACGCCTTGCTTTTTAGGCTAAAAATAATCGATTTTTAAGGAATGAAAAAAATGGCAAAACAGATGCTGGGTCAGTTGATGCTTGATCCTACTGATGGGATGCTTGGCCGGTTACCAATTATGTAACTACCCATGTTCCACGCCACAGAAATACTGATAGAGCTGACGCAACTGTACAAATTCTACTTTTGCTGATTACGATGTAAAACGACTCTTCGATTAACTGCATAATCTTGCCACGTGTCGATCGACTACCATGACATAACTTTGTTAAAAAATGACCGCTTAAGAGAGCATGAAAAACGAAACTAGAATGATTAGCGTTACCGCAACTAAAGGATCTCCCCCCCCCACGTTCCGTTAATTCTGTTTAACGTTCAAGTCTTGCGATGTAAATGCGATCACAACTACCACATGTTAGAAAACGTTTCTGATCTCTAAGCCAGCGTGAGGATCACGCATATTACGCAACAGTTTTCCTAAGGTTTTAGCCCTGCAGAAACATACACAAAAACCGCACCTTTCAGAGTACCGTCTAATTTCCTTGAATACACCTGAAGCATAAGGTACCGAAATCGAGAAATTACAATTAAAGGAGGGGCGGGGCAGCATTTGCGGCGTTTAAATACAGAATTAATTAAATATTTGGCACAACCGTTTTTAACGAAAACAGCTTCATTTCACCTCTGGACAGTCATTCAAGTAACATTTTGCTCATTCCCTCATGATAACCGATGGCAGTTCTGTCGAAACTTTAATATACTTGAAAATAAATTTTATTCTCGTCTTTCGTGCTGCCAACCATGGAATCAGAAGATGTATCAACCTCAAACCATTAACGATACGGTATCGATATATGAATTATAAACTATAAAAGAGAATTGGTTATATAAACTGCTTAGAAAATAAATTTTATTCATAACCCCGACAGAGATGTTGCGAATAAGAAGTGTTTTCTAAGCAACGGATGTTTCATTAGCTGCTTTAGTTTCTTCTTTAAAATTTAAAAATGTTACTAAACACTGGAAAATGATAAATAAATCAATAAATGTAAAAGGTTTTCAGCCACGATA